TAAAATATGTATATAGTCACAGAACAAGAATCGACAACTCGAACCTCTGCTCACTCCTTTCCTGTAAAATACAGGTCCAGCCCACACATATGCTGGTTCTACAGGCCGCAAGGCAGTGCACTTACAACTACAATAAGCATGTTAATGTTAATCTAAATAATAATAGCTCCGGCGATCCACTGCTCATGTGTCTTTCCCTTTTTAATAATGCATCATGTCCGCAGTTAGAAATGGTATTTAGTCATAAGTAATGGGAACCTGAGTTTCTCAGTTCCCAACATGTGAAAAATGTGAACAATCAAGTGCTTTTATAATTATCATTAGGTCATACATTGAGTTGTTATAGTAGATTAAATGTTAAATTATTTGAATATATATACTATTTCCTAAGTTAATAACAAATTAAGTTTCCTACTAAAAGTTTGGGAAGACAATGGTCTACCAGACAACAATACATTACAAACATATTACTTTTAGAAAAGTGTACCAGAAAATACCAAGTAACACAAAGTATGCAGCATAGCTATCATTTGACATAAATCCAGTAATAATAATACAACTAATATGGCCTCGTAAAATTAAAACACCATTGTATCAAAGTTTTGCATTGCAATTGACCTACTTAACATTAGTAAAATGCAGCGCCTATATGGCGCTGGTAAAATGTTTAAAAAACCGCAGCGCTTTTGAATCATCTGGGCTTTTATTTTGAAATGGATGACCGGAAATCGTCTGAGCTGCGGTGCTTGACTCATGGCTTCACTCCAGTGAGGCGCCAGCCAGGGACAGTTTTAAAAACAATTGAAACAGAGAGAGGAGAGGAGATCACTGACTCAGAGCCTGTTTTTTTAAAAAACCCACACTGAAACGTTGTAGTTTTTAATTTAAAACGTAAATATAATGTCGAATGCCGGGATCTCCCTGGCCCGTGAGGGGATGTACTCCAAACTGATAGACGATGACGGGGCTCAAGACGATCTGAACCGCAGGCCAGATGTGGAACTCGGTGGTAAGGATTAAACATTTGGTTGTAAGCTTTTCCTTGTAAGTTCCCTGGCATTAAAAAGAGTTAAAATAAATCAATATCTAAAACAAAGAAGGGTTCTTTGGTGAAAGGCCACACAAATGCTCATGGTAGAAATTCAACATGGATATATACAAAAATGCTTGCTTTTTCTGAATTTACTAAATATCATGAATTTCAATTGATGCATTGCTGTAAGTGACATCCTAGCAGCATTAGCTATAAGGACACACCCTTGAATCAGTGTGGGAATACATCAATTCACCTGGGGCTTTATTTCCCTCTCTGCTGTTTGCTTGATTTGTTTATTTGAGTTCAGCCAGTTTTGCAACATCCTGGAAAACGTTCTGACATGTTTGTTTTTGACAAGTCTGAACAGAGCATACGGGAATTCCTCTGTGTAATACAATTAGTTTGAATACATTATGTTGAGCTTTAGTTGATATGAAAAAGCGAAAGAAGCATTTTTTGTTGAATTGTGTTTAGTTGATTTAATGTGTTACAGCTGTACGAGCTCTGAGTGCAACAACACAGTCATACAGCTCTGAAAAAAATTAAGAGACCATTCCATTCCAGTTTCTGTTGAATTCGAACACAGAGATATTTGTCAGCAGTTTATAGAATAAAATAAAACATGTTTCATTGTACTCAACACATACCTATAAAAAGAATAACCAGAGAAACTGATAATGCTGCAGTGGTCAGTCAGTGGTTCAGAGCTGTATGTAGTGAAGGGTTGATGTGTTGTATACATACGGAGATATTGTGTTTTAAACATTGCTGCAAAGATTACAACATATTTGATGGTTTCATATTTTTTTTACAAATAAACATGAGATATTAAGTTTTGTCACTTAAGAAGTACATCTAACATGTGTGATACTGGGAGTGAAGTTGGGGGCATAATTGGTAAAGTAATGTGCATTGATTAACAGTGTTCAGCTGCAGATATAATGATAGGGACTGTATATTTTTGGAATCAAGTGCAGAAATGTAAATTGACTGTACAATTGTTTTACTGTTAGACAATGCATTGAGATTTTAATTCTATTCACAGAGCCTGGTTGAATTTAAAAGTTGTATAACGAGTACCATACGACTGTCAGAGCTAGTGACTAACAGCGTCCTAAGAGTTATGGAAAATATGTTTGGGATGCAGTAAACTCCTAAACTCATTATTGATCTAGGGGACGCACCCCCTCCTTTTTCCTTGATATGCCCTAATTCTGCAGAAGAAGAGCTATTAGCGTTAGCAACCAGAAGTGTCATACAACTTACACTAAGGTGCTTTCATGCTCGTCAAGTTATCAAAATAAGTGCAAAAAAGAAAATACATTAAAATGACATTAATTCACAATAAGACAAAAAACATAAATAATTCATCCAATAAGAGCCAGGGGGAAAGAAAAAGCATAAAGGCACAAAAACATTTAAGAGGCATTAAGCTTACTTAAAGTGGACCTATCATGCTATATTTGAATAATATAGTGTAGGACCATACCTATATAAGGCATATTTATACTTTGTATTTTTCAAAATACCAAACAGATCATGCATTTTAGCCATTCCTCATTTCGCTCAATTTCACACTGTCTTTTCATGGGCTGATCCTGTGAGAACAGCACCATCTACAGGCCTGGCATATGTACTACAGCGTCTCCAGCGCTTTCGAACGGCAATGTCCGTAGCTGTCTCCTCCTGATTGGTGGAGTTGGCCCAATAGCCGTAGCGCCACTTCTGTGACGTCATAGAAGTGTTCAAATCTGGATCAGTCTGTATCAGATCCGTTGCAGCCCCTTTTTAAGAGATTTGGGTATGGAGGAAAATAGAGAGGGTTGTGTTTTCTGACACTTGGTGAGTTCCCTGGAACACCGGGGACACATATTCATGTATAAAAGACGTACAAAAGTNTGCTGCAATACTTCAGAAACACTTCCCGTATTTTCAGACCGATGTCTATTTTCCACTTCCCCTTTTTTTAAGTGATTTCCATGATCTCAGAAAACACATCAATAGACATCGGTCTGAAAATACGGGAAGTGTTTCTGAAGTATTGCAGCAGATGTTTGTGAGTGTATTTGTTTGTTTCAGTGAAGCTATCAAAGACAGTTTGAATCATGTATTGTTAGTCTGATACTGACAGGAAGCACAGTACATCTGAACAAGGATGGTCAAACTTGCCAACCCTGAGACCTCAGAAATCGGGAGCATTTCAAAATGCAAAATAGGGGGGGGGGGATGCTAGTGGAGCGCCGGAGCTGTTAGATTAACATTAACATGCTTATTGTA